AAGGCTCTCCGCGGCGACAGCGGAATTGTGGAGTACAGCTTTGTTGCGACCGACGTCTGGCCAAAGTTGTCCTACTTCAGCTGCGCGGTGGAGCTCGGCAAGGGCGGCGTGGCGAAGGCGCACAAGCCGCAGCTCAACAAATTCGAGGAGGGCCTCATGGAGAAGGCCGTCGCGGAGCTGGAGAAGAACATCGCTCGCGGCAAAAGCTTCGTCGCGAACTGAGCGGGGGGCATTGCCCCCTGTGAGAGGCAATTGTCGCTCTTTGCGCTTTGCCTGCGGTGCGTGGCCCCCGCGCTCCGTTCTCCGGCCAACGAAGTCTCGTGGCCTAAGCAGTGGCGTGGAAGGAAGAGGAGCACTACGTGGGTGGCAGCAGATGCCCCGAGTGCTCGGCCGGGAACAGGGCGCAGGGAGGTCGTCGCAAAGAACAAAACGGGAAAGAAAAGGAGTACCTGGGGGGTGCATGTATTGGGTGGGAAGGAACGTAAAGCTGTTGAGTGAACGATAAGGTTCACGGTTGCCAAAAGAGATAATCTAACTGCCTAACTGAGACCAACAAAAGAGATAATTTAACTGGAACGCAACGCCTCACCAACCGGTGTAACTGAAGCTCGTGGGCCACGCGGGTGTGTTGGGGTAGGGGCGACAAAAAAAAAACTGTGATGGGCCATCGCCAAGGCAGCAACAGGGCTGGGGACCGTGAGCCGGCAGTTGGGGGACAAAAAAGGAAGTAAAAGTCACAGCACCTGATGCTCCCATCGGAAACGTTGCCTTCTGTGAACATATTTTCTTCTTCTTCCTCTTTTTTTTTTGCGCTTTTCTCTCCGTCAGTAGTATTGAGGTTGCTTTGGGCGGATGCGGTGAGCTGCCACTTTCTCTTTTGGTCTGTCTTCCCCACTGGCTGCGCACAACGGCCGGGTGGGCGACGGCGCCTGTGAGGTGAGGGAAGTGAGCGGGAGTAGTATTGGCTTCTCTTTTTGGTCTGGCCCCTGCTTTTCTGCTCGACAGCCTTACGAGCGAGATGCGTCTGTTCATCCTGGGCCCCCCAGGCAGCGGCAAAACGTCCATCAGCACGGTACTGAAGGAGCACTACGGTGTGTGTCACGTCTCTCCCAGCGACGCGGTGTCGCACGCAGTGGAATACGGCGGGTCGGCGTTCGGTGAGAAGCTGCGTCTCCTCCTTGAGGAGGGGAAACCCGTTCCAGACTGGATGCTGGCACATGCTGTTGCAGAGGCCACACGTGGCCCGGACTGTAGCAATGGGTTCCTTCTTGATGGCTTTCCCAAGACGGCTGAACAGGCGCGGCTGTTAGCTGACGAGGGGGTCAAACCTGATGCTATTGTGCTGCTTAGTTTTGCTGATCGCCTATTAATTGAACGTTTTTCTGGGCGCTGGGTGCACCCTGCCTCTGGTCGTATGTACCACACACTGTACGACCCTCCGAATGTAAAGGGGCGAGACGATGTCACTGGACAGCCGCTGGTGCAGCGTGCAGCGGACACCGAGGAGGCTGTGCGGCAGCGACTCGCAACGTTTCACCGCAGCTTGAACGCCCTTCGGTGTGTATATGCGGATGAGCGGTTATGGCATACCGTGGATGGTTGCGCAGCGGTAGATACTGTGCATAGCTCCATATGCCACGAGTTGGAGCCTGTCTTTGTCTCGAGGCAGCGTCGGTGGTGGTCGAGTTTGTTTTCCTGGCGTAGATGATCGGGGTGTGGGGGGAGGGGGGGCCTGGGTGCTTCGAACGGGGACTGTGTAGGGCGTGCCCTGCCGCGGACACCTCTCTTCTGTTCTTTTCATTGGAGGTGTCCTTGTCGCCCGCCAGCGCGGGGGCTTGCAGTTGCCGTTTTCATGTTCGGGGCTTTTCTCGCGTTTTCTTTTTCCTCCCCTCTTCCCCGTTCCACACGCCTCCCCCCGGGCGTGGCTGTAGCGGCGTCACCGGGGACCACACCCACTGCGTGGCCTCCCACAGCGAGCGAATGGTGTTTTTTAATTTGCGCCGAGTGGCCCCCCAAAAGGCAGCCGGGAAGGTTGTCGTTTTTGGTGCGACGACGGCGGTGGGCCGGCCCCTCTCCCTGCTCTTGAAGCTCTGCCCGCATGTGAGGGAGGTTTGCTGTTGTGGCCCTTTGAGCAGGGTTGATCAGGGGGCCAGCGTGACGCCGGTGCGTGGCGTGGCTGCGGATCTTTCCCACATTGATACTACCACCAGTGTGAAGGGGTTTGAAAATCAGTGTGATTGGGAGTTGGCACTGCGTGGGGCCCAACTCGTCTTGTTTTGCGCCGGGAGTGTGTTCGACCCGTGTAGGGCGCAGCGTGACGCGGCATTGAGGGCGTCTGGTCCAGAGTTGATGTCGGCAATGACTCTGGTGGCGCGGGCGGCCCCAAATGCCGTTATTGGCGTTGTTTCCAGTCCCGTTAATGCGCTCGTGCCCCTTGCAAGGGAGGTGTTGGTGCGCAACGGTGTGTTTAATCCACGGAAGCTGTTTGGTGTCACGAGCCTTGACGTCATGAGAACAAGAGCTCTCGTGGCCGAAGAGCTGCAGATGAACCCGTACGACTTGAATGTGCCGGTTGTGGGCGGTAGAGGCGGCATGACTGTGTGTCCTCTTGTGGCGCAGACTGCGCTGCGGATTCCGCACGAGCGCGTTGTCCATGTGTGTAGCCAGCTCCGTTCGTACGGGTCGCATTCCGCCCGCGCGGAGAGTGGCGCTGCCGGTGGCTTGAGCGATGAAAAGGCGGTTTCCGTGGAACTGCCGCCACAGGTGGCGTTATCGTTGGCGCATGCCGTCCTGGAGTGGTCTGTGTCGATGCTGAAGGCTCTGCGAGGGGACCGCGGCATCGTTGAGTGCTCCTTTGTGGAGTCCACAGTGCGGAAGGAGACCCCCTTTTTTGCTTCACGTGTGGAGCTTGGCGAGGAGGGCGTGGCGCGACTTCTGCCAATGGGTGCACTCACGGCGTACGAGACGGAGCTGGTAGAGACTGCCGTGCCGCTTATAGCGGGGGATGTTGAGGCGGGGTTGCGCTTTGCAGCTGGAGAGCCTGAGCCGGCCCTGTAGGCGCGGTGGCACACCGCACGCACGGTGCGCCACGCTCTGTCGTTTTTGTTTTACTAACGTGCCCCGTACACCCACCCACCTACATACATGCAGACGTGCGTACGTAAGGACGGGCCTGCCGCGGTCGCATGGCGTTTGCCGCGGTATGGGGAAGAGGGATGTGCGCGGAGGAGAAGGCCGCCCCTTGTTTTTTGTTTTCTTTTCTGTTTTCCTCCTCGCGTGCGCCGTGTTTCACCGCCCCTGTTTTCCCTCCTTTTTTCCTCTCGTCACGCCTTGGGGTGGCGCTGAGTCGCAGTTCCAGGCAAAGCACGCCAAAGCACAAC